AATCTGAATGGGTTCTTTGTTAGTCTGTATTAATTTCATGCATAGTATACAGTTCTTTAAACTGTTATTGTTTGTTTACAGTAAATTCCTCAATTTCTAGCTGTATAATAAGGCACTAAGGCACTAATGGTAATCTCTGAAGCTGGCGTCTGAACCTTCTGTTGCCACTGTAACCATTTAAACCACAGCCAGCTACCATGGTTATCAGTAAATTTTAGATGATTGGAAATATGTACTTTTTCAAGTACACTGACATTCCAAAGGTGTTCTTCATGCCATATAATGTAGGTCACCATTGCATTAATGTGATCTGAGGTAGTAACCACTAAAGACAACCCATGTTATGTAGAAGTGGTAGAAGTTAATGTCAGAAGCTCAGGTGATCAAAAATAGAGCCATGTTATCCTAAGGAATTGGACAATAACCACCAGAGTTCTCAAATCAAATCCTGTACGGTGGATAAAAAGCACCTTTTAAAAGTCTTTCTAAATCCATACCACAGACTGAGTTGAACATTGAGTAAGTTAGATCTTTCCTGTAGACTTAATTAGAGTCACTGAGAAGTATTATCAAGATCACAATATCTTAAAACCAAGGACTTACTTTGCATCATCATCTCCCAAGCCAAGTTCATAAACTCGTGTTGCACCCAGTTCATCCAATCGCTTGTCTACATATTTTGCAACTTCATTGTAATGTTCATAAGTCTTGTTTCCAAGTCCAAATACCTGGAATTGCAGATCAGCATATTCATGGTATAGTTTTAATTTGTTCAAATAGTCCATAAAAATATATTTGTGTGCTGCAGTAAGTGACAGTAGGAGTATGACAATTTAACTCAAGGAGGGAAATTTTAATACCAGCCACAAAGAAAAACAGCATGAGGAATCTCAATTCAAAATTCTGTACCAAGATGTTCCTTTGTTTCAGATACCTTCTTTCCTCTGGCCTATGAACATATGTGAATTCCGCCCACGATTACTGTTTGTTTCTTACATCTTTGTGGTCAACAAGGAGTTCTCATCCATGTAAGGATCTAATTCCTTTACATGCGATTCACATTGCATCTTCTTTGTATCAGTAACAGTACGTATACATTAACTTTACATAAGGATGCATAACGAGATAGACTGACAATTACAAAAAATATTTAATTAATTCTGGTTTATTAAATGGCACTATTGTCACGCCCACCTCAAAAGTTTGCACAGATGCAATGACGTTACTTCTGATTGTATAAAATTAAAAGTATGAGTATGGTTTAGCCTCCAGTGATGTAACATCCACATTAAATTTAATCAAAGTCTAAGAGAATTTTAGGTTCTCATGGTGGTGAGTATGAAGATGGCTGTCTTCTGGGTTATAGCACCATGTAGTCTCGTAAAAGTCTACCAACATTTCAGAGGTCCTTTCCACCTCCATCATTAGATCAATGAGTGGTGGAGGCAACAAAATCTGTTCAGCATTTCTTCAGTTGAAACAAATACAATAAATGAATCTGAATGGGTTCTTTGTTAGTCTGTATTAATTTCATGCATAGTATACAGTTCTTTAAACTGTTATTGTTTGTTTACAGTAAATTCCTCAATTTCTAGCTGTATAATAAGGCACTAAGGCACTAATGGTAATCTCTGAAGCTGGCGTCTGAACCTTCTGTTGCCACTGTAACCATTTAAACCACAGCCAGCTACCATGGTTATCAGTAAATTTTAGATGATTGGAAATATGTACTTTTTCAAGTACACTGACATTCCAAAGGTGTTCTTCATGCCATATAATGTAGGTCACCATTGCATTAATGTGATCTGAGGTAGTAACCACTAAAGACAACCCATGTTATGTAGAAGTGGTAGAAGTTAATGTCAGAAGCTCAGGTGATCAAAAATAGAGCCATGTTATCCTAAGGAATTGGACAATAACCACCAGAGTTCTCAAATCAAATCCTGTACGGTGGATAAAAAGCACCTTTTAAAAGTCTTTCTAAATCCATACCACAGACTGAGTTGAACATTGAGTAAGTTAGATCTTTCCTGTAGACTTAATTAGAGTCACTGAGAAGTATTATCAAGATCACAATATCTTAAAACCAAGGACTTACTTTGCATCATCATCTCCCAAGCCAAGTTCATAAACTCGTGTTGCACCCAGTTCATCCAATCGCTTGTCTACATATTTTGCAACTTCATTGTAATGTTCATAAGTCTTGTTTCCAAGTCCAAATACCTGGAATTGCAGATCAGCATATTCATGGTATAGTTTTAATTTGTTCAAATAGTCCATAAAAATATATTTGTGTGCTGCAGTAAGTGACAGTAGGAGTATGACAATTTAACTCAAGGAGGGAAATTTTAATACCAGCCACAAAGAAAAACAGCATGAGGAATCTCAATTCAAAATTCTGTACCAAGATGTTCCTTTGTTTCAGATACCTTCTTTCCTCTGGCCTATGAACATATGTGAATTCCGCCCACGATTACTGTTTGTTTCTTACATCTTTGTGGTCAACAAGGAGTTCTCATCCATGTAAGGATCTAATTCCTTTACATGCGATTCACATTGCATCTTCTTTGTATCAGTAACAGTACGTATACATTAACTTTACATAAGGATGCATAACGAGATAGACTGACAATTACAAAAAATATTTAATTAATTCTGGTTTATTAAATGGCACTATTGTCACGCCCACCTCAAAAGTTTGCACAGATGCAATGACGTTACTTCTGATTGTATAAAATTAAAAGTATGAGTATGGTTTAGCCTCCAGTGATGTAACATCCACATTAAATTTAATCAAAGTCTAAGAGAATTTTAGGTTCTCATGGTGGTGAGTATGAAGATGTCTGTCTTCTGGGTTATAGCACCATGTAGTCTCGTAAAAGTCTACCAACATTTCAGAGGTCCTTTCCACCTCCATCATTAGATCAATGAGTGGTGGAGGCAACAAAATCTGTTCAGCATTTCTTCAGTTGAAACAAATACAATAAATAGGTTTTAAGCACAACACAGCTGCTTAGTTTATGATGGATTATCTTATCTTCAGCTATAGCTATCCAATTGTACTGAATCAGTTTTAACAGCAGAATTATTACAAGGTCTCTAAACCTTGACTGGAGCATGAGACAACACTTTCTCTGTTGAGCATTTTCTTATCAGAGTCAGCCTGATTAAAAGAGTGTATCAAAATATTTGTGTACTGGTTACATCTATACATTCATATACATAGCAAAATTTGAAAAATGAACCCAGAAGTTTGCAACTTACACCAAGCCCTGCCACTCAACTCTTGCACTGAGTCACTTAAATCCAGTTCAGATTCATATTCAGATTCACTTTTCTGAGATCTGTTTCCTATTAATTCTTCTGATGGTGGTTTCCCCACAAAATGTTTGTATATATATCATTGTTTCCTCATTTTAGTTATGTTTCCAGTCTATTGTAAACTCCTTGATACAAGTACTTTGACCATAAAAAAGTGTTTAATCTTTATGCAGTATCCTAAACTACCATTTAATTCATCCCTCTTAGGTTACGCTATTTTTCCGAAAATTTTCTATTCATTATTTGAAATGTATGCCACACCATGTCTTACAACAAAACAAATATATTGAATTTAATACTTTGTGTTGTTCTGAAATGCATGCAAGACAATTACAGATTTTCAGTTGAAAAATATCAACCATTTCCTGACTTTGTTCTCTAAATTCCACAACAACCCCTCCTTTCTGATGTCATTGCTACCAGACATTTACATTTCATTTGAAATGATTTATTAGTTATTGTTATTTTAAGACATTTTATGACACTGCTGCACACTTTGGTTTCATAACATTTTCAAACATTAGTTTTTTACATTTATTTGAGTCAACTTTCTTTTCTCTCTTCAGAAATATATTCAATGGTATGTATTCTGTTTATGAACTGAATCAGAATTTACAATTATAATTACAAATATTAATTCATGATCTGGTATAGGATGCAATGTCAATATGGCCTGTGGGCCAAAAATTGAAATGGGGACCTCCAAAACATGAAGTAGAACCATTAATCATTCATCAACAAGGTTCACTTTATGGATTAACTTTCTCCACTATGAATTCCCATGAGCCGTAAATACTTACAGCATAATTAAGACCTGTAAGATCTGTATCACCATTCTGAAGCCACTCGTAAAACTCCATTGCATTATCAGTAGGATCTCCCTCGCCATAAGTAGCTAAGCAAAATACAGCCAGAGAATTGGGTATGTCCTTCAGGTTTGTAAGTTCTTCCTGTAAGAAGCAAAGCAGAACTTACAGAATTATAAAGGCTGACCAATATTTTCATACTTGATGCTGAGTCCTGAAAGTGGTACACTCTACCAGTCAAATACATTTGATAAAACATTGAAATAGTGCTTAGCATTAAACCCAAGAAGAACAGCATGGTGGTATAATCTGTTTAGGTAAAAATTAAATGTGGGGAATGTGATATAACATAATTCTAATAATACTTGGACTTGTACACAAATGAAAATTATGTATGTGCATAAAAACATATGCACAGTTACATATCTGAAATCTTTCATGTTGTAGGATTTATCAATTTTGTACTAAGTTTATTTATTTTATTATCATGATTAAAGGGTTTCTTAAATTATTCATTAACGGAGATTAAGTGGCATGAAATTAGAGCTATAAAAATCAGTACATAGGCGGGTAATAAGAATTTGGGACAAAGAGTGCCTCATGTTAAATTATTAACACAGTTTTTGCGTGCAAGTTGCTTCTTAATTTACTAAAGCATGGAGGGGTGTGTAGGGTGGAAATGCCAGGCCCAGTGAAAGTTTCAACCAGATTCCTCATTCACGCAAGGAAGAAATAATAACTACATTTTGAATTTGTTATTACAATTAACTCAAGACAAATGAAAACATTTCCGTAAATATGTAATCAAACCAACTAAGAAACAGTTGCATTGCATGCAAATGAAAGTATTCAACTTCTGATGAAATAGCCAGGGTAAATGTGAATTTCAGTTTCTTCACACATAAATTTTCTATGACAAAGTGTTTTTATCTGCATGGAAGCAATGCATTTCTGACAAAAAGATGAAAACTATGTAACTCTACATACCAATGTATAACTGGCTTTTGGGTAAGAGCTGCATCAGATATTTGCTGTTAACCAACATTTTGGCAAACACTGCACCACCTTGAAAATGGCAACTGCAATGATTGCCAGAATGTTGGTTAACACCAAATATCAACCGCGGCTCTCAACCAAAAGCCAAAGTTGTACACTGAACTTGACCTACAAAAATCTACATACCATATCACATTCCTCAGGATCAGCTACCATGCCTTTAAGATGATAGCGAATACCCTCTTTGGCAAGTCTTCCAGCAAATTCTTCGCCAGTACCAGTTTGGCTTCCATAGAATACAACCAAACTCCTTCCAGAGCTTTTCAGTTTCTTGATGAATGAGTTGTCTGTAGATTGAGTTCCAAGATTTGTTGGTCTGAAATTAATGACCATATTATAAATATAAAACAATAGAACATTTTTAAACAAAATTAATTATAGATATCTGGATTTCATGGCATTTCAATGCTAACGTGGATCATGTCTTTTGGGTGATGGCACCATGTAAATGTATGCTGTATTGATAATGTTCTGGAGGTCCTTAATGTCTTCATCTCTGCCTTGGAGATCACATCATACCAAAGATCAATGCTTGATAGATGTGCACCAATTTCAAGGCCTAAATTTCACACGTGCCCAGTAACCTGAATGGAAATATTAACTGTCACAATAGATGTGAATATTACCTACATCCAAGATTGATATAGAATTGCTAGGGGTCTGGAAATAAATTGAGGAGGTATTATGATACATTCCAGACACTGCTCTTGCCACCCTATAATTTTGTGTAGCCTGTGATTCAAATTCTACATATTATTTTATAGTTCTGTATCTGGTATATTATAGGACATAAGGTATAAATTAAATATATGACAATATTCCAACCACTGTAGAGGCACAATGAGAAATAAATAAATTTTTAACAGACATTATACAGCTTTACACACAGACCTTTCAAGTCATTTCATGTCAAATCAACAAGCTTTAGAGGGAAAATTTTCATGACCATCTCTGATTCTAATAACATTTTGCAAGCTTGTTGGATTGCCTTAGGAAATGACATGAAATTTCACCCTCTTGTGTCCATTAATAGCAGAAATTTTAAGTTTTCCTTCAGTTGCCCCTTGTTCTGATTCACTGAAATGCTTCTAAGTCTGGTCCTAATCAAGAAAGAGATCTCACTTGTATGTCAACTGAAAGCAATTAAGTAGGGTTTTCATTTAGTATGCAATTCAAAATATTTTTGGGCACATTAGCAGTTTGACCTTTATTTTTTTGTGAAAAACCTATCTCCAGATTTGACCAAGTTTTTTCCATGTCATCATTTCAATATATCTTAAGACAGTATCATGTTGGGACATTTAAGTGATGAGAAGGTAATTTTTTCTGTTAGTGGTCTGATGCTACACTGAATGGTTAGGCATGATAAGTCATGTTGTGACCTTTACAAACTTGATGTAGGGCGTCATGACTCATCCAGCCTTCTGGTTCACACCAGATTCCAGTAGAATTAAGTTGTTGTTTGTTTGTTTGTTTGTTGGTTGGTTTTTTTTCTCCTGGCAAGTTCTGTAGTGATTTTGAAAAGGGCAAAATTTATTTTTATTTTTGAAAAGTTTAAAATTGCTGTAAGTGCTACAAGTATCAAAGAACTGTTTTAAAACTGTATTGTGATCCCTTGAATGTCAGTCATACTGCAAGTTCCTAGAAAAACCAGAGATTTGTACTGGACTGGATGATGAAAAAGGTTCCCAGTGTTGAGAATGGACAAAGAGTCTGTGATTAATGTAGGAAAACTATTGCAGATTTGCCCAAAAACAGCTGAAAGAAAAATTTGACATAACAGGAGAAAAATATGAAAATGTTCAAACTTTGATAGTTCTTCCAAAGTACTGATCAATTTGGAAGATCCAACACGTGTTCAAAGCCTCAAATTATAATTTATATGGTTCTGACTTCCAAGAAATTAGTGGCTGAGAAAGAAATTTCGTCAAACCTAAAAGTAAAACGAGGCAAAGTGCTGCCTCCCACAATAGCTGAAAAGGTGAAACAGTTTTTGTGTCTGATGAAATCAGTAGGACCATACCAGGGACAAAATATTATGCTTCTGTTAACTCAGTAGCCTACTAAATTTTTAATAAACAGAATCATGATAAGTTGCTAGGTTTTTAAACGTTTGTAGAGTTAAAAGGAAAAAAGTAAAGCTGTCCCACTATACGCCATGTAGGCACTTGGGGGAGAGGTATAGCTCCTAACCATTCTTGACCTCGGCACTAGAAGGGAGTGAGTGGTCAGCATCATTTCGTGGCCGCGCTTTACCCCCAGGAAAGGACCCCGGTACCTATTGGATAAGAGGCTGGGTGGGCCTCAAGGCCAGTCTTGATGCAGAGGCTAGAGGAAAAATTCTCTGCCCCTGTCAGGGATCAAACCCTGATCATTCAGTCCGTAGCCAGTCACTACACTGACTGATCTACCCCAGTTCACAAAACTGTGTTAGCTGGAGTGGGTGGTACACATGTAGTTTGTGTATGTACCATTCATCAGAATGTGAAATTTATGATTTCAGGCACAAAATTATACAGTTTGACTGAAAAGCAAAATTATTTGTATGTGCTTACAAAATAGATCCAGAAACTGCAATGAGTCACACACATTAACAGTGAAAGGGAATCCTGAGAAACCAGAAACCAGGTTTTGCACACTGTAAATAGCCAAAAATAAAATTTATTACAAAAATTAAAAACTAATTTTAATATTTTAATGAATAGGATTGCCAGGTTTCTCTTTTGCCTTTCTCACTGATGTTGCATTACCTATGTAGCTTGCTGTAATCTTTAATCCATGTAACCAACAACAATGTGCCCTCTCATTTGACGATGTATAGTCTGCGGTACTGGAAAAGTGTCGTTAAATAAACTATAAATAAATAAATAAATAAATAAATAGAACATGTAATTTAAAAAAATGCATTACATCCACCCAATCATGTCCCAACATTAAATTTTAAAAAATTACCTAAGGAATTGCAAAATGTTTTGGGAAAAAGTAACAAATCTGTCTATATGTTTTGTCATAAATTAAGGTCTAATGTCAAAAGTTAAGGTCAAAATGTTAATGTAACCCAAAATATTATGAGTAGCATACCAAATGAAAGCTCCACTTAGGAGCTTTTAATTGGTAAAATAAATACTTCGCTATCATAATTTTGACCATTTATAAGCATTTTAGTGAATCTGACCTAAAAATAATCCTTTGACCCTAGTATGGGAGTTCTAAAGATCACTAAGAAACATATCTCTAACAGACTGCAGAAAATTGGTAGATGTAACACAAACAGTGATGCTGTGATGATGTCATGTACACTGTGTAATAATTTGAACTTACTGCATGAAATACGATTTATCGGTTGTTGGTACTCCTGACTGTTGTCTATTCTTGAGAAACCACCAGCCTCCAATACCCAATAATGAAACTAGAAGCACCGAATCTGAATGGGTTCTTTGTTAGTCTGTATTAATTTCATGCATAGTATACAGTTCTTTAAACTGTTATTGTTTGTTTACAGTAAATTCCTCAATTTCTAGCTGTATAATAAGGCACTAAGGCACTAATGGTAATCTCTGAAGCTGGCGTCTGAACCTTCTGTTGCCACTGTAACCATTTAAACCACAGCCAGCTACCATGGTTATCAGTAAATTTTAGATGATTGGAAATATGTACTTTTTCAAGTACACTGACATTCCAAAGGTGTTCTTCATGCCATATAATGTAGGTCACCATTGCATTAATGTGATCTGAGGTAGTAACCACTAAAGACAACCCATGTTATGTAGAAGTGGTAGAAGTTAATGTCAGAAGCTCAGGTGATCAAAAATAGAGCCATGTTATCCTAAGGAATTGGACAATAACCACCAGAGTTCTCAAATCAAATCCTGTACGGTGGATAAAAAGCACCTTTTAAAAGTCTTTCTAAATCCATACCACAGACTGAGTTGAACATTGAGTAAGTTAGATCTTTCCTGTAGACTTAATTAGAGTCACTGAGAAGTATTATCAAGATCACAATATCTTAAAACCAAGGACTTACTTTGCATCATCATCTCCCAAGCCAAGTTCATAAACTCGTGTTGCACCCAGTTCATCCAATCGCTTGTCTACATATTTTGCAACTTCATTGTAATGTTCATAAGTCTTGTTTCCAAGTCCAAATACCTGGAATTGCAGATCAGCATATTCATGGTATAGTTTTAATTTGTTCAAATAGTCCATAAAAATATATTTGTGTGCTGCAGTAAGTGACAGTAGGAGTATGACAATTTAACTCAAGGAGGGAAATTTTAATACCAGCCACAAAGAAAAACAGCATGAGGAATCTCAATTCAAAATTCTGTACCAAGATGTTCCTTTGTTTCAGATACCTTCTTTCCTCTGGCCTATGAACATATGTGAATTCCGCCCACGATTACTGTTTGTTTCTTACATCTTTGTGGTCAACAAGGAGTTCTCATCCATGTAAGGATCTAATTCCTTTACATGCGATTCACATTGCATCTTCTTTGTATCAGTAACAGTACGTATACATTAACTTTACATAAGGATGCATAACGAGATAGACTGACAATTACAAAAAATATTTAATTAATTCTGGTTTATTAAATGGCACTATTGTCACGCCCACCTCAAAAGTTTGCACAGATGCAATGACGTTACTTCTGATTGTATAAAATTAAAAGTATGAGTATGGTTTAGCCTCCAGTGATGTAACATCCACATTAAATTTAATCAAAGTCTAAGAGAATTTTAGGTTCTCATGGTGGTGAGTATGAAGATGTCTGTCTTCTGGGTTATAGCACCATGTAGTCTCGTAAAAGTCTACCAACATTTCAGAGGTCCTTTCCACCTCCATCATTAGATCAATGAGTGGTGGAGGCAACAAAATCTGTTCAGCATTTCTTCAGTTGAAACAAATACAATAAATAGGTTTTAAGCACAACACAGCTGCTTAGTTTATGATGGATTATCTTATCTTCAGCTATAGCTATCCAATTGTACTGAATCAGTTTTAACAGCAGAATTATTACAAGGTCTCTAAACCTTGACTGGAGCATGAGACAACACTTTCTCTGTTGAGCATTTTCTTATCAGAGTCAGCCTGATTAAAAGAGTGTATCAAAATATTTGTGTACTGGTTACATCTATACATTCATATACATAGCAAAATTTGAAAAATGAACCCAGAAGTTTGCAACTTACACCAAGCCCTGCCACTCAACTCTTGCACTGAGTCACTTAAATCCAGTTCAGATTCATATTCAGATTCACTTTTCTGAGATCTGTTTCCTATTAATTCTTCTGATGGTGGTTTCCCCACAAAATGTTTGTATATATATCATTGTTTCCTCATTTTAGTTATGTTTCCAGTCTATTGTAAACTCCTTGATACAAGTACTTTGACCATAAAAAAGTGTTTAATCTTTATGCAGTATCCTAAACTACCATTTAATTCATCCCTCTTAGGTTACGCTATTTTTCCGAAAATTTTCTATTCATTATTTGAAATGTATGCCACACCATGTCTTACAACAAAACAAATATATTGAATTTAATACTTTGTGTTGTTCTGAAATGCATGCAAGACAATTACAGATTTTCAGTTGAAAAATATCAACCATTTCCTGACTTTGTTCTCTAAATTCCACAACAACCCCTCCTTTCTGATGTCATTGCTACCAGACATTTACATTTCATTTGAAATGATTTATTAGTTATTGTTATTTTAAGACATTTTATGACACTGCTGCACACTTTGGTTTCATAACATTTTCAAACATTAGTTTTTTACATTTATTTGAGTCAACTTTCTTTTCTCTCTTCAGAAATATATTCAATGGTATGTATTCTGTTTATGAACTGAATCAGAATTTACAATTATAATTACAAATATTAATTCATGATCTGGTATAGGATGCAATGTCAATATGGCCTGTGGGCCAAAAATTGAAATGGGGACCTCCAAAACATGAAGTAGAACCATTAATCATTCATCAACAAGGTTCACTTTATGGATTAACTTTCTCCACTATGAATTCCCATGAGCCGTAAATACTTACAGCATAATTAAGACCTGTAAGATCTGTATCACCATTCTGAAGCCACTCGTAAAACTCCATTGCATTATCAGTAGGATCTCCCTCGCCATAAGTAGCTAAGCAAAATACAGCCAGAGAATTGGGTATGTCCTTCAGGTTTGTAAGTTCTTCCTGTAAGAAGCAAAGCAGAACTTACAGAATTATAAAGGCTGACCAATATTTTCATACTTGATGCTGAGTCCTGAAAGTGGTACACTCTACCAGTCAAATACATTTGATAAAACATTGAAATAGTGCTTAGCATTAAACCCAAGAAGAACAGCATGGTGGTATAATCTGTTTAGGTAAAAATTAAATGTGGGGAATGTGATATAACATAATTCTAATAATACTTGGACTTGTACACAAATGAAAATTATGTATGTGCATAAAAACATATGCACAGTTACATATCTGAAATCTTTCATGTTGTAGGATTTATCAATTTTGTACTAAGTTTATTTATTTTATTATCATGATTAAAGGGTTTCTTAAATTATTCATTAACGGAGATTAAGTGGCATGAAATTAGAGCTATAAAAATCAGTACATAGGCGGGTAATAAGAATTTGGGACAAAGAGTGCCTCATGTTAAATTATTAACACAGTTTTTGCGTGCAAGTTGCTTCTTAATTTACTAAAGCATGGAGGGGTGTGTAGGGTGGAAATGCCAGGCCCAGTGAAAGTTTCAACCAGATTCCTCATTCACGCAAGGAAGAAATAATAACTACATTTTGAATTTGTTATTACAATTAACTCAAGACAAATGAAAACATTTCCGTAAATATGTAATCAAACCAACTAAGAAACAGTTGCATTGCATGCAAATGAAAGTATTCAACTTCTGATGAAATAGCCAGGGTAAATGTGAATTTCAGTTTCTTCACACATAAATTTTCTATGACAAAGTGTTTTTATCTGCATGGAAGCAATGCATTTCTGACAAAAAGATGAAAACTATGTAACTCTACATACCAATGTATAACTGGCTTTTGGGTAAGAGCTGCATCAGATATTTGCTGTTAACCAACATTTTGGCAAACACTGCACCACCTTGAAAATGGCAACTGCAATGATTGCCAGAATGTTGGTTAACACCAAATATCAACCGCGGCTCTCAACCAAAAGCCAAAGTTGTACACTGAACTTGACCTACAAAAATCTACATACCATATCACATTCCTCAGGATCAGCTACCATGCCTTTAAGATGATAGCGAATACCCTCTTTGGCAAGTCTTCCAGCAAATTCTTCGCCAGTACCAGTTTGGCTTCCATAGAATACAACCAAACTCCTTCCAGAGCTTTTCAGTTTCTTGATGAATGAGTTGTCTGTAGATTGAGTTCCAAGATTTGTTGGTCTGAAATTAATGACCATATTATAAATATAAAACAATAGAACATTTTTAAACAAAATTAATTATAGATATCTGGATTTCATGGCATTTCAATGCTAACGTGGATCATGTCTTTTGGGTGATGGCACCATGTAAATGTATGCTGTATTGATAATGTTCTGGAGGTCCTTAATGTCTTCATCTCTGCCTTGGAGATCACATCATACCAAAGATCAATGCTTGATAGATGTGCACCAATTTCAAGGCCTAAATTTCACACGTGCCCAGTAACCTGAATGGAAATATTAACTGTCACAATAGATGTGAATATTACCTACATCCAAGATTGATATAGAATTGCTAGGGGTCTGGAAATAAATTGAGGAGGTATTATGATACATTCCAGACACTGCTCTTGCCACCCTATAATTTTGTGTAGCCTGTGATTCAAATTCTACATATTATTTTATAGTTCTGTATCTGGTATATTATAGGACATAAGGTATAAATTAAATATATGACAATATTCCAACCACTGTAGAGGCACAATGAGAAATAAATAAATTTTTAACAGACATTATACAGCTTTACACACAGACCTTTCAAGTCATTTCATGTCAAATCAACAAGCTTTAGAGGGAAAATTTTCATGACCATCTCTGATTCTAATAACATTTTGCAAGCTTGTTGGATTGCCTTAGGAAATGACATGAAATTTCACCCTCTTGTGTCCATTAATAGCAGAAATTTTAAGTTTTCCTTCAGTTGCCCCTTGTTCTGATTCACTGAAATGCTTCTAAGTCTGGTCCTAATCAAGAAAGAGATCTCACTTGTATGTCAACTGAAAGCAATTAAGTAGGGTTTTCATTTAGTATGCAATTCAAAATATTTTTGGGCACATTAGCAGTTTGACCTTTATTTTTTTGTGAAAAACCTATCTCCAGATTTGACCAAGTTTTTTCCATGTCATCATTTCAATATATCTTAAGACAGTATCATGTTGGGACATTTAAGTGATGAGAAGGTAATTTTTTCTGTTAGTGGTCTGATGCTACACTGAATGGTTAGGCATGATAAGTCATGTTGTGACCTTTACAAACTTGATGTAGGGCGTCATGACTCATCCAGCCTTCTGGTTCACACCAGATTCCAGTAGAATTAAGTTGTTGTTTGTTTGTTTGTTTGTTGGTTGGTTTTTTTTCTCCTGGCAAGTTCTGTAGTGATTTTGAAAAGGGCAAAATTTATTTTTATTTTTGAAAAGTTTAAAATTGCTGTAAGTGCTACAAGTATCAAAGAACTGTTTTAAAACTGTATTGTGATCCCTTGAATGTCAGTCATACTGCAAGTTTCTAGAAAAACCAGAGATTTGTACTGGACTGGATGATGAAAAAGGTTCCCAGTGTTGAGAATGGACAAAGAGTCTGTGATTAATGTAGGAAAACTATTGCAGATTTGCCCAAAAACAGCTGAAAGAAAAATTTGACATAACAGGAGAAAAATATGAAAATGTTCAAACTTTGATAGTTCTTCCAAAGTACTGATCAATTTGGAAGATCCAACACGTGTTCAAAGCCTCAAATTATAATTTATATGGTTCTGACTTCCAAGAAATTAGTGGCTGAGAAAGAAATTTCGTCAAACCTAAAAGTAAAACGAGGCAAAGTGCTGCCTCCCACAATAGCTGAAAAGGTGAAACAGTTTTTGTGTCTGATGAAATCAGTAGGACCATACCAGGGACAAAATATTATGCTTCTGTTAACTCAGTAGCCTACTAAATTTTTAATAAACAGAATCATGATAAGTTGCTAGGTTTTTAAACGTTTGTAGAGTTAAAAGGAAAAAAGTAAAGCTGTCCCACTATACGCCATGTAGGCACTTGGGGGAGAGGTATAGCTCCTAACCATTCTTGACCTCGGCACTAGAAGGGAGTGAGTGGTCAGCATCATTTCGTGGCCGCGCTTTACCCCCAGGAAAGGACCCCGGTACCTATTGGATAAGAGGCTGGGTGGGCCTCAAGGCCAGTCTTGATGCAGAGGCTAGAGGAAAAATTCTCTGCCCCTGTCAGGGATCAAACCCTGATCATTCAGTCCGTAGCCAGTCACTACACTGACTGATCTACCCCAGTTCACAAAACTGTGTTAGCTGGAGTGGGTGGTACACATGTAGTTTGTGTATGTACCATTCATCAGAATGTGAAATTTATGATTTCAGGCACAAAATTATACAGTTTGACTGAAAAGCAAAATTATTTGTATGTGCTTACAAAATAGATCCAGAAACTGCAATGAGTCACACACATTAACAGTGAAAGGGAATCCTGAGAAACCAGAAACCAGGTTTTGCACACTGTAAATAGCCAAAAATAAAATTTATTACAAAAATTAAAAACTAATTTTAATATTTTAATGAATAGGATTGCCAGGTTTCTCTTTTGCCTTTCTCACTGATGTTGCATTACCTATGTAGCTTGCTGTAATCTTTAATCCATGTAACCAACAACAATGTGCCCTCTCATTTGACGATGTATAGTCTGCGGTACTGGAAAAGTGTCGTTAAATAAACTATAAATAAATAAATAAATAAATAAATAGAACATGTAATTTAAAAAAATGCATTACATCCACCCAATCATGTCCCAACATTAAATTTTAAAAAATTACCTAAGGAATTGCAAAATGTTTTGGGAAAAAGTAACAAATCTGTCTATATGTTTTGTCATAAATTAAGGTCTAATGTCAAAAGTTAAGGTCAAAATGTTAATGTAACCCAAAATATTATGAGTAGCATACCAAATGAAAGCTCCACTTAGGAGCTTTTAATTGGTAAAATAAATACTTCGCTATCATAATTTTGACCATTTATAAGCATTTTAGTGAATCTGACCTAAAAATAATCCTTTGACCCTAGTATGGGAGTTCTAAAGATCACTAAGAAACATATCTCTAACAGACTGCAGAAAATTGGTAGATGTAACACAAACAGTGATGCTGTGATGATGTCATGTACACTGTGTAATAATTTGAACTTACTGCATGAAATACGATTTATCGGTTGTTGGTACTCCTGACTGTTGTCTATTCTTGAGAAACCACCAGCCTCCAATACCCAATAATGAAACTAGAAGCACCACATCCAACACCCCAAACATCGGCTCTTCCATCAACTGTTCTGCTCCTACCGTAGGTTCAACTTCCATTGTTGTTCCTGGAACAAAAATCCAAAAATCATATCCATTTCCACTGCTTCCACATAGACGAAAAATTCCACAAAACAATACTTTTAATTTATGTCAGATTGTAAGGCAATTTCATCTATGAAAATAATGTTCTGCCTTTAAAATAACTTGTTCTTATTTTTATATGCATGTTTATATACAAGTTACATAAGAACTGTCAAGCTGTTTCTTAAAAGTTGAATAATGCTGACAACAGAACACTGCCAAAATAAGAAGCAAAGGTTATGAAACTCAAAATTACTCAGCATGTTTGTCATATTTTAACGTATTTAAGTCGATATATCTTGAATAACTCTAGTGCCAATTTCTGTATGGTAATAAAGAGAATTGGCAACATACCATTTTATAATTAAAACCCTGATCATTCCGTCCATAAGTTCTTTTACTGGATGAATTATCAAACCCTATCCAGAACCAAATAAATTCTGTCTACACTCTGGCATCCTACATCTTTAAGATAAACTTACACATGAAGCTTTCTGTCTTCTGGGTTGTTGCGCTGTGTAATCTGGTCGATGTTAACCAACGTTTCGGAGGTCATATTGCCTCCGTCATCAGGGCGATGAGTATGAAGCTTTATGTCTTCTGGGTTGTTGCGCTGTGTAATCTGGTCGATGTTAACCAACGTTTCAGAGGTCATACTGCCTCCGTCATCAGGGCAAACGCTGGTTAACACCGACCAGACTACACAGCGCAACAACCCAGAAGACAGAAATCTTCATACTCACCGCTGTGAAAACCTCAAATCTTACAAACTTACATGTATTTTTCAACTAAGTCTAGATCTCGTAAGTGACTTATTCCCTTCATGTTTTAAAACTAAAACGTTATATTTGTTTTTCATTCCCACTTTGTGTTGCTACATGTCCCACAAATTTAATTTTCCTTGATTTGATACCATTAGTATCTAGGTCTGCCCACAATGCTCGACATTTACCTTGATTTGATACCATTAGTATTTAGTAAAATTATGAAGCTCCTGTCGAGCATTGTGGGCAGACCTAGAAGGAGATGGGAGGATAATATGAAGTTGGCTGTGAGGGTGGAAAATGGATGGAGTTGGCTCAGGATGGTGTCCATTGGCAGGACTTGGTGTTGTCAGTATTGGACCTGCGGGTTCAATAGTGGTATGGCATGAGGCATACTGGCTTCTTACCCATGGGGTCTAAAAATCAAATTCTGGTCAAGTCAAAATATTTTTCTTTCTTTCTTACAGTCACCGTGCTTTTATGTTATGTACAAGATATTCACATTTTCTGAAAATCTATAACCGTACATAATTTTATGATCCTACGGCAAGTGGCACAAGTTTGTTCATCCATCATGAAGAAAAGTACAGTTTCAGGATAGTCCCTAATGGCATAACATCCACATCAGATTTATCAAAATCCATCCAGTGGTTCTCGAATTTAATGACGCAGACTGACAAACAGACCAGACAGAAAGTTTACCGACGTTTCAGGGACCTATTGATGGAGGCAGCAAGGACCTCTGAAACGTCGGTAAAGTTCTACCAGACTACACGGCGCAACAGCCCAGAAGACAGCCATCTTCTAAAGTTAAATTCATACAAAAAAAGGAAATTATGCGTTCAAACCTTGGCCTTTGAAGCAGAAATGATCATTAACCAATTAAAATGCACAGATTTTAACTACACTCGTCATTTGGCAACCAAAAACATTAATTTATATATAAAACTGAAATTGTGTGAATATGTGTGAAAAGTATGTTCACTTATAGCCTAAGAATATACACACCGTTTTGCACCAAACCTGGCATAATTATTCTTTGAGACCAGGAATAGATTTTAGAAAGGGCAAAACTCTTGAAACTCTGAATTCTAGCCTGAGTCACGGCGGTTCCTGTAGCACGGAAACCAGGCACGAGAGAAGAACGGCGCCAAGACTCAGGTTGTTTGTTCAGGATAGGAGATAGCAGAAATAAGGACCAGAACCCCCAAAACTGTTCTGTGTTCGAGTCCTGGCGAAGATGGTTTATGTAGTTCGGAAACTAAGCACAACAGAAAACGGCGCCAACATCAAATTGGTTTATTTCGGCGAGCAGACCACAGAAACAACGGTCACTCCAAACCTTGTAAACCTGTCCGAGGTTCGAGTCCCGTGTAGATGGTTTCTCTAGCTCGAAAACTACGCGATACAAAAATTACCCCAATGTCAGAGTTATTTGTTTCGGCGAGGATATTACAGGAGCAAACCCACAGGCCCGTAAAACTGCCATGGGTTCCGCTGATGATTTCTTCTGTACTAATCTCTTCACAGGGTAAGACCAATGTAATTTGTTTTAGCGAAGAGACTAAAGGATTAAAGTCACAAACACGAAATCCACTACCACAAATGACAACTCATGCCATGCATCTGAATACAAAAGAGCAGGTGAATAGGATGAATATAACTAACAAACTAGATGGCTAACCGAACCCGAAGGTTCATCACCGAATTAACCAAAGCCCTCCATCAGACCCTGTCCTGGGCGAGCAAAATCCAGTCCCCTTCAACTCCTATCTCCCATAGATCCAGCCTGACATTATCCTCCCATCTACGTCTAGGTCTCCCCAGCGGTCTCTTCCCCTCAGGCTTCCCCACCAATACCCGGTGCACACTTCTTGTCCCATCCATGAGCGCTACATGCCTCGCCCATCTCATTCTTCTCGACTTAATCACCCTGACAATATTGGGGGAGGAGTATAGATTTTTAAGCTCATCATTATGCAGTTTTCTCCAGACCCCATCGTCTTCTCTCCTAGGCCCAAATATCCTCCTCATCACCCTATTCTCAAACGGTACGATCAATATATACCACATATTATAAGAAAGTAAATATAACTAGAGAAAACCTATACAATCATTCATAACTATTACTTTCCAGTACCAACAATTGACGCAATATTTTAGGCCAAATAACAATAAAGTACATCATACCTAGCACTGCAGAAAATGGTCCACGTTGGATTTGAGGTTTTCACGGCGGTGAGTCCGAAGATGGCTGTCTTCTGGGTTGTTGTGCCGTGTAGTCTGGT